GGCTGGGTGAGTGGGAAGAGCGGGTGAGAGTTGACCGGGGCTGTGGGCTCTTCCTCCATCATCAATAAGCCCCAGTTCTCAGCTGCCCAAGCAGACTGTCTCTCTTTCTGGACACCAATCAGAGATGGGTACACCTACTGGCCACACTGCTGGAACCGTGGGTCTAGAGCCTTCACCAGGTTTCCACCTGGGGACTATTGAATAAGCACCTGCTTTTGCCTGGCTTCATCCCCACACCCCGCCCCACGACGCTGGACTCCAGCAGGAGAACCCCGGAGATACTGCAGGGTTCCTACAGCATTTTCATCCCCTTTCAACAGGACAAACAGGCAAAATCAGGGGGGCAGTCTCCTGGAAGCTGCCCCTGCCTGCCACCCACCACTGCCAGGGGATCCAGGACTCACCGTCCCTGGGCTGCAGCTGCAGGTGTGGGAGTAGCTGGCGGATGGAGCCGCAGGAAGAGACTAATTGTACAGTCTTAGAAATGTCCCTTCCTTTCTCCAGGTGAAGAATCTCCCACCCACTGCCCTGGATTACCCCAGCCCCAGGCAGAGCCCTTTTTGGCCATCTTCCAGGCAAAGCAGGTATCCCAGCAACAGAGTGGTAGTTTCTGACTGCCACTTCCTTGGGACTCCAGGCCATCGGTAATTGAAGCTCCCTGGCCTTTGGAGCTTAGAAGAATTAGTCTCCTGGCAAAATACGAAAAATAATTTCACGCTCTCTTTCCTCCCCTCCCACAATCGTCCCTGACAAATTGTCTCTTTATCACCTGTCACTCCAGCATCACCAGGCACCTGTGGTCTTGCTGCGTGGTGGTTGCCAGACTCAGTCTTAGCTATGACAGGCTGGCTGTTCTTCCAGCTGCCATGGAAGACCCAGGAAGCTCCTGCCTTCTGCTGACTCCAGCCTGCCCCCAGGGAGCCAAGGTTTATGAGGCTGCACCCTGATGCACACCCAGGAGTGAGAGGCTTCCTTCTAAACACTCAAATGTATCCATTTGTGGCTAAAAGGGAGAGAGGGAAAGAGAGAGATCTTGGGTCTGTTGGTTTATTCCCCAAGAGCCTAAAACAGCCAGGGCTGGATCAGGCTGAAGCCAGGAACCCCAAAATTCCATTGGGGTCTCCCACATGGGTGGCACGGACCCAAGCACTTGAGCCATCATCTGCTGCCTCCTTGGATGTGTGTTTGCAAGAAGCTGCACAGAAACAAAGCAGCTGTCCCCAACCACATCTTCATGGCCACTCCACAACCTTGCCCCCTTTTATATCTCCTTTTAGGCAAGACACGCCCTCGGCAGCAGACTGCTGGTAAACCCCGTGTGCACCACATAGCTCATTAATACGCCCAAGACTGGAAATGACCCACAGTGGACTGCAGGTCCTGGTAGGCTGTGTGGCTTCAGGCAAGCTGCCTGATATCTCTGAGTCTCGGAGCCTCCTGTTCCTGGTGGGTTTGAATGGGAAGATAACAGCAATAAGGAGTGACTGGAAGATTTGAGTGACATCACAGGAGGTCAACATGTCACCGTCATTACTATGCAAGATAGGCCGGAGAGAGGGACTTGGCACAGAAGGTAGCCCTGCAAAGAGGCAGTCATACAAACTGTACCATCCATGCTAGAATCACTAAGAAGCTTGGGTAGGTCCTGGGCCTGGGCACGTATAATGTGCCACTCGATTTTTCATAAGTCAGTCTCCCATAGTAGATGCAGGTTCGAATCCCAGCTGCTCTGCTTCTGATCCAGCTCCCTGCTAACACACCTGGAGCAGAGGACGGCCCAAGTGCTTGGACCCCTGGCTTCCTGCAAGTATCTCTCACAATTGTGGTCACCCACATGTCTTCCCAAGGCCCATGGCTCACAGTGACCCGGACAGACAGAAAAAAGGGAGCCGCCATCTGCCTGTCTGCTTCCCAAATGACCACAGTGGCCAGAGCTGAGCGGGGAGCCAGGAGCCGTCCTCCACTGTTTTCTCAGGCCGCAAGTGGGGAGCTGGATGGGAAGTGGAGCAGCCATGACACAAACCAGTGCCCATAGAGGATGCTAATGCTGGCAGGCAGTGGGGGGATTTGGCCTATTGAACTACCACACCATACAATCCATTTCTTTTTTTTTTTTTAAGATGTATTTATTTTTTATTGGAAAGTCAGATTAACAGAGAGAAGGAGAGATAGAGAAAGATCCTCCATCCACTGGTTCACTTCCCAAATAGCCACAAAGCCGAAGCTGACCCGATCTGAAGCCAAGAGCCAGGAGCTTCTTCTGGGTCTCCCATGTGGGTACAGGGTCCCAAAGCTTTAGGCCACAAGCAGGGAGCTGGAAGGGAAGTGAGGCAGCCAGGATTCAAACCGGCACCCATATGGGATCCTGGTGGGTGCAAGGCAAAGACTTTAACCACTAGGTTAATGCACTAGGTCCACAATCCGTTTCTTAAAGGCTTTTAGGAAAGTAATTCATACTATGATGTGAATGGCTATTGCTGGCATAACCCATCTGATGTTCCATATATAAGATGCTTCATGCAGAGAGGAGGCAGGTGGCATGAGGGAGGGGAATAGCTGTTGCTTCGTCCTAAAAGGGCGACAGGTCCAAGTGCTCTGGATCCCCCAGCTGATTGTTACAATGCACTACATTGTTGCAGACTCTGAGAAGTCTTGCAGTTTCCATGCCTGTGGCACTTGAAAACCTTCTTCTCCCAGGGACTATGTAACAACAACAGCTGTGGAACATGGGGAATGTCAACCTTGACGTTCCAGGGGCTGGAATGCACGGCCCTCGGGACAGGAATTGGTTGATTTCTGTCTTGATATCCGTCAAAACTCACGAAACTGTTTTGGTGCTTGGGGGCACAGTGGGTGTCTCATAAATATTTAATGTATGAGCCGGGCTGGGCTCTAACTTCATCTCTGACTGTGATTTCTCACATGGTCTTGGGCAATTTCCTGTCCTTTCTTGGGTGTCATTTCCCAACATGTTACAAAGGAGATGAGATGGGGGTGGGTTCAGCGACTGCTTGGGACACCAGCCTCCCATGGTGGAGTGCCAGGTTCTAATCCTGGGCTCCTCTGCTTCCCATCCAGCTCCTGTTCAGGTACCTGGGACAGCAAAAGATAACACTCACATGGGAGCCTTAGCTGCTGCAGTCAGATGAATACATATATGCACACATATATGCACAGTTTTTTTTAAATATTCATTTATTTTTATTTGAGAGACAGCATTATAGGCTGATGGGTGGGGAGAATAGACTGCTCAGGGCTAACAAGGGAAGCACAGACATTCAAAGTGAGAGAGGAGAGAGAAGGCTGTTCCCACCAGTGCATTCATTAGCTGGTGGGGAGGGTGGTAGTCATGGGCTTTTGGTGGATTTATAGAGCTCCCCTAGGGCTTTCTGATGGGAGCAGAGTGAAAGGGAAAGGTGAAATATGGGTTATCCCAAAGGTTGGGTCTGAGCCATCTAGAAAGCAGAAGCTTCAGCTTAGAATGGACTCAGATATAAGTGGAGGAGAGACACATGAAGGTGTTGGACAGGCAGGTGGATATTTTGGGGGTGGAGCTCAGAAGGGAAGTCCGGGCACTTTTCCTGCCCTCTGTTCCACTCCTATTGCCTCCTTGGGCCTCCCTGACTCCCCATTCCCTGCTCTGGCTTTCCCAGCACCCATGTCCTTGACCATCCTGTTGCCCCCGCGCCTGGTGAACTGCTGCAAGTGAGCTGTGTGAGCGTGCGATCAACAGGATGAGACAATGAGGAGTTAAAGATGCTGCCCAACACCACCCACCCGCTTCCTCAGCTAGATAAGGCTATCTCATCCCGCAGACTGTGGACACGCAGGGCCCGCCCCTTCCTGCTGCAAGCTGACTGCGAGGAAACAGAGGAGGATGGACCAAGAGCGTCCGGAAAAAAGACCCATGGAGCTCGTTAAGAGAGAATCAGAAACGCTACACAATACAGAGCCAGGAGAGAATCTAGAGGGGAGGGGTGGAGGGAAAGAGTCATGGTCATTTAGACTGTCAACAGCATGGGCCTCTCTCTCTCTCTTTTTTGCAAAGTCAGATATACAGAGAGGAGGAGAGATAGAGAGGAAGATCTTCCTTCCATAACTCACTCCCCAAATGACCACAACAGCTGGTACCGTGCTGTGCCGATCTGAAGCCCAAAGCCAGGAACCTCCTCCAGGTCTCCCACCTGGGACAGGGTCCCAAGGCTTTGGGCCATCCTCAACTACCTTCCCAGGCCTCAAAGAGGGAGCTGGATGGGAAGTGGGGCTGCCGGGACCAGAACCAGCACCGCTATCGGATCCCGGCACGTTCAAGGCGAGTACTTTAGTTGCTAGGCCACCCCGCTGGGCCCCTCAATTCATTTCAGAAGACAGACATCTCCTCTGATGCTGTGGGCTGGACTATCAATAGCTGTAAAATATATAGAAGATTTCAAGGCATTTGGAATTTATCTAACACACCTTTATATCACTCAGGGATCGGAAGAAAAAGTTGTAGGAGAAGTCAGAAACTTCTGGAAATGATAATGAAGATACATCAAGTCAAAATTTGTCAGATGCAGCTAAAGCTGTGCTTGGAGGAAAATTTGTAGCTGTATGTGTCTAGTTTGGGGAATAAGAGAGGGTGCAGGAGAGAGAGAATTCTAGAATTAATGACCCCAGAGTCTGCTTTAAAAAGCTAGAAAACTAAGAATAAACTAAATGTGAAGTAAAGAGAAGGAAATATGAAAGTTAAAAGGAAAAAAAATTGGAAATAAAATACAAATGGTAGAGAAGAAAAAAGTATACCGTTAAAAACAGATTCTTGGAAAAGATGATGAAGAAACCCCCTCCCCACCAAAAAAGCACAACTAATAGTAGACCATCTTGTCTTTATTAGTGTTCTGTGCTGACTGTGCTTGGACCAGCTCACCAGGGAGAGGTGCTGAGTTCACGCAGGGGACCAGCGGAGAGGCCAGATCAGGGAGCTGCTGGACTCCAGCCCAGCAAGCACACACCTCCTCCACCTCCGCTCACTGCTGGATCCTGCGGACACTCTGCACCTGGAAGGTCTGGGCATGAGAGCCCCACTCCCGGAAATGCTTGTAATCGCCCGAGTGGTGGTCACACTCCAGCACGTACTGAAAACCCCGGTAGCCAGGGTACTGGGAGCACACCCAACTGCAGCAGGAAAGAGACAGGCAGTTGTTACGCACGTGGTCTACCGACCAGGGACAAAGCGGCTCAAGCCACAGGCACACCCCAGACCTCCCAGCCTTCCTCAGTGCCCCATCCTCTCCCCTGACACCTCCTTCTGCCAGGAACACCCTTCCAGGCACTGTTGTTGTCCACGTTGTACCTGTCCTTCAGTCCTGGCTAGGTCACCCCTTCACAAGCACCTCCCCCACCACCCCCAGATCTGCTCCTAAATTTTCTCCACCTGCCTCTCTATGGCCAAGCTGTCCGATTCCCCTCTTCTGGCCTCACAGACTGTCACCCCTTCCTTTCTCAGACAAGGAGGAAATGGGACTGTCGCTAGCAATGAGCACATGACCAGGCTTAGCCAATCAGAAAGCCTCATTCCTGTGGGCACAGTGATGAGTTCAGCATGGGGCGCCTGACCCGTGTGTTGAACCCATGAGAGCCTGTCCTGAAATCTTTGATGGAACCCTAAAGAGGAAGGAGAAACTTCCCGCTCTCCTGGCCTTGAAGCTGCCACCTTGGTTCGTGCATTGTAAAAATGCATCTATCCTGAGGCAGGCTCCCGGATCCAGCTGTGCCTGATGGCATTCCAGGTGCCAATCGATATCCTTCAGGCTTCAACTGGGCTTCTGGCCATTGCAACCCCACAGTGGGCATCACACAAAAGCCACAGAGGCAGATCCTGCGGGGGTACTTACGCGCCAGAGTGAACATGGAAGGAGCCCACCTCGTTGCTATCCCAGCCCATGGCCTGGAGAGAGGGGTAGTCATCACTCAGTTCTCCTTTCCTGCCCAGGAAGTTCTCATGTTCAAAGATGGTCAGCCTAGAGTCACGGTGGTTCTGCAGGTGCAGGGAGCAGCCTAGGTCACCAGGTGTTGTGGTGGGAACCGCTGCAGGTCACCACACACACACACACACACACACACCCCGCCCGCCCAGGATCTTTGTCCCCCACACCTTCTTTCTTTGCAAGCCTTTTAGACGGATCATAATGCAGCAGCAACCAGAAAGAGGGAACCGGTTTGCATTTGGCAAAATACTCTTTATAGGAATGTATGCCAAGATAAGAATCAGTCATCACCATCATCAAATCAATACTGTGAGAATCACCCTGAATGTCCAGCAGTAGAAAAGAGAGTGGCAGCTGGCAAATGGGGGATTGCACCAGGATAGGAAGCAGGTGCCAACGTCTGAGTGCCAGTGCTGATGGGGGCAGGTATTGTGGCACAGTGAGTTAAGGTGTCGATAACCACATCCCAGACTGGAGTGCGTGGGCTCCACTCCCAGCTCTGCTTCCACGCCAGCTTCCTGCTAATGTGTCTGCAACCATAGTATCCAGTATAGAGTGCCAGTTCCAGTCCCAGCTGCTTGGCTTTGGCTGGGGTCCCTGCTAAAGCTCATGCTTGAGTTTCTGACACCCCACTTGACAGACTGGGATGGAGCTCTTAGCTCCTGGCTTCATCTGATGCAACTGTCTGGAAATGAACCAGAGGATGCAAGATCTCTCTCTCCTCTCTCCCCCTCTCTCTACTTCCCTCCCTCCTCTGCAAGCTAGACACTGGCATGGACCATAGTAGAATGGATGCAGGGGAGACCTCCACTGTGGGACAGCTTTCTGAGCCCGGGCTGTGACTATGGGCGATTTATTTTTCTCAGCCCATCACCTTCTCCTCTGAACTTCAAGTGGGTAATAGGGTGCCTTATGTCATCCTACACCAACAAAATGTGTGGCAAGAATAAGCTTCCACAGCCCCCTCTGACACTCAGGGCTTTCCCGTACAAGAGCCAGTGAGGGCACCCGCCACCCGCTGCCTCCACAAGCAGCCTGTGGACCCACAGCCGCAGGAACCGCGACAACCAGCAGGCAGCCCTGCCTTCCCCTAGCGCTCAGCTGTGCTCTGCACATCTGGCTCCTGCTGTGTCCACCGGAGGGACACTGGAGCTCCCTGGATAGGTAGAGGAGGACTCACCGCACAGGCCACTGGGCGGAAGGAGCTAAGGCGCTCGGCCGGGTAGGCAGTGTTGCCACTCCAGGCATCCCAGCAGGGGTATTCGCCGCGCTCCAGCACATACTGCTGTCCTTGGAAGCCAGCGTGCTCAAAACCCACCCACCTGCGGGAAAAGGCAGAGCGTGAGAAGCAAGGTCCTCCTCCACCCCACCCTCGGAGTTCAAGCCCACAGGCGTCACTGGTGGGAGAGAGGAGGCGACTGTCCCTCCCGGGTTGAGGGTGGTGCTTTCTTGTGCCTGGAGTCATTTAGGATGTCTGGACTGGGGCAAGGGCCCCGTGCAGAGTCAAGGCGGCACCCCCTTTTGGAGTAGCAGGTGGAGTCCTGGCTGCTCAACTTCCAATCCGAGGCTTCCCTCTGGCTGGATGTGTTTCCAACACAAGCCACTGTCCCCGCCTGAGCCCCATTTTTTTTTCCTGTACCAAGCACAAGCTGAAAGAACATGTACCATGTTGTGAGACACATGAAAAACCCCCAAGGTGGTTAGATGGTACTTACAGGCACAGCATCAAGCACCAACTTTCTAGAACATTCTATTCAATATGATAGTCACTGGTCCCAGGTGTTTAATTCATTAAATGTCAACATAAACTGGTTAAAAATCAATTTGTTTTAACATTAAGTTCTTGGGACCAGCACTGCAGCACAGTGGACCAAGCCGACCCTTGGGATGCCAGGATCCCATATCGGGACATCATATCAAGTTCCAACTGCTCTGTTTCCAGTCTCGCTCCTTCCTACCGCACCTGGGGAAGCAGCAGAAGATGGCTCCAAGACCCTGGGCCTCCCAGCCACCCACATGAGAGAAGGAGCTTCAAACTCCCAATTTCCTGGCCCAGCTCTGGCCATTGCAGCCATTTGCAGAAGTGAACCAGCAGATGGAAGATCTCCTTCTCTCTTCCCCTCTCTCTCTTTCTGTCATGTTGCCTTTCAAATCCATCAAGAAATCTCTAAGATAAAAATAGTCTTTTAACCACGCTTGCTACTGGTAGAATCCTCAGTGGTCACACAGCAGGCCATAGACTATTTCTACCTTTGCAGAAATGTTGGCTGGGGGGTGCTGGGCTACACAGCTGAAATGTATTATTAGGGTGTCCTTCACATCTCTCTCTGCTTCCCCAACCCCCCTCTCTCTTAACAAGAAGAAATCAGACATCATGCTTTGAGTCATGGGCAATAATATTTAGCTACAAATCAATGCACCTTTTTATGAAACATAGCGTTTATTTTTACCTCCTAGTTTTGGCGAGTGCTGCTGGCTGTCAGTTTATGCCCAAGAGGGAAGGCTCAGAGCCAACAGTTGATCCTAAGGCTTTACACCTCACAAAGCTGCCAGTCCCATGAGCGGAGGACCATGTGAATGGTGAGCCCTTACTATTGAGCAGTGCACAACCTACTCAACCATACAGGACAGTCCTGGTTCCCTAACTCAGCTCTTCAGTACCGTCAAAGCCTGGGAAGACATATGGCCACAGCACTCCTTTCCAGGTTCTTTCCTATCCCCACCCCTACTCCACCTCCTCCCCTAGGTATCCAGACACCCCACCAACATTTGGTGCTCCCCCCGCCCCCTGCACCGGGGACTCACGCTCCACTCAGCACTTTGAGCGATCGGACAGTCTCAAAGCCAAGCTCCAGCACACTGGGACACTCCGCGGTGAACTCGTGCCGCCTGCCCTGGAAGCCTTCTTCATCCCATACCACCACCTGCACCCAGAGGAGACAGAGGCCCAAGTCAGAGTTCCATGGGGGGTTCAGGGTTGGGGTTTTGGTGTGGAGAGTGGCTGACAAAGCAGGGATGCCAACACAGGCACCTTCAATAACCAGGTGGATAAGAGAGATGAAGCTTTCTTGACTTTGGGCCTCAGTGGCACAGTCTATGAACTGGGCTCTGATGATTCGGAGGGCTGAGGAAGGCACTGAGTGGAGCTGGATCAGCTGTGTCTGTTGGTGGGGACGCCCTTCACCATCCCCACCCTGCTCCCTGAACACACCCATCCCACGCCTCTTCTTACCTTCCAGTGTCCTGCTGACTTGGTACACTGCAGGGTCATGTTGGCTGCTTCCTGCAACGTAGGACGAGAAACAGGGTCACCTCCTGCCCTCTCTCTTCTCCTTGATGCAAAGGGCTGGATTGCAGGTGGGGACCAGCTGTGACCAGGCCAGGGGACTAACCCTTTGCCACCTGGCCTGTCATTATCTCCCAAATTCCTCATTCCCAGTACTCTTGACCCTGAACACAGCTCTGGTTACCATGGGAAAACTTGTTCTGCACCTGCCACTGGTGGCTGCATTACTCCAGCGAATGCCAAGTGCCCCAGGTCAAGGGTGGCTTTTACAGGCAACACTGAATCCCACAAGGACCCTGAGGAACCCCAAGGGTCACCTCGCTTGGCAATGAGGGTAACAGGTGCCAATCTGGCTCTATGAAGCCTGCAAGCCTTTGGTGAAGATGGAAGCTGACGTTCAAGATGCCCTGAACTCCCCGCACCTTCCCGGATGCTCACTTCAAGCCTTCACCTCCCCCTCTTCTCCAAAGCTGGGACTTACCGAGATGGGCCCAGAGAACATGTCAGAACGGCGACCCACAGAGGTCAGGCTCTTATAGGCAGGGAGAGGAGAAGGGCCCCTGGGAGACAAAGTCCCGACTCAGCAAGTGAGCTGCAGACACAAAAGGCAGTCCTGGCAGAAACCCAGGGCAGAGGCGTCAGCAGCTCTGGCTTTAGCCACAGAGACAGCCAGAGGTGGCAAGTCTGCCTTAGTCAGCGCCATGAGGCTTCTCATTCCAGCAAGGTGGCATGCAGCAGATGGAGTGTCCTCCTTGTTGTACGACCCTGGGCAGGTCATCCCCACCCCACCCTTAGTCTCCTTCCTGGAAAAAAAAAAAACAGAACATCTTGTTATTTGCTTTGAAACACATGCCCACTATGGAGTATTTATGAATAAGATTCAGCAATTATCTGCTCCTTGTCCCTTTCTTGTCCAGTTGTTCAGCTGGAGCAACTAAGGTGGGCTGCATGGAGAAGGTGGCATTTAAAACAGGCTCTGAAGGGTAGAGAGATTTGTATAGAGATGTAAACAGTGGTAGGCCAAGCAAATGGTGTGTGTGTGTGTGTGTGTGTGTGTGTGTGTGTGTGTGTAGGGGGCAGTGAGAACATGAAAATGCTGGCAGCCCAGTCAGGCAGAAGCAAGACAAGAGATGTGGGCTGTGCCAGGGCCTGCAGGTGGTGGAGCCACGAGGTAGTGGGCACATCAAGGAGCCGCTGGGTATAAATGCATATTACGAACTGTGGTGTAACTGCCAGGTAGCCACAGCTTGGGAAATCCACCATGAGCAGCCTCTCCCAGCACCTGTCCCTCCGTCTGGTCTGCGAGGCACAGTTCCAAGCTTAGGAAAAAGCCTGGCCAGGAGCCAGGGATCTTGCGGGGATACCAGCCCTTCCTGGGTGACCTGGAGGATAGCCGAGTTCCACATGGGACTCACAGGAACCAGTCTGCTCTCAGGACGGCTCTGTGATGCTCTCTCTGGACAGGACAGGGACCAGGAGTCTGAAGTTTTCCCAGCCAGCATCCTGGCTTTGGATCCTGCTTGGTAACTTCAAGTGTGTACCTTCATCGCTATGAGCCTCAGTTGGCTTGTTTGTAAAATGGGCACAGCATAGCAAATAGTGTGGGTCCAATCCAATGGATGGAAGATCTCTCTTTTCTCTCTCCATCTATTGGTTCACTCTCCGATGGCCGAGGATGGACCAGGCTGAAGGCAGGAGCTTCATCCAGTTTCCCACGTTAGAGGGTAGGGGTTCAAGCATGAGTGCAAGTGTTAAAAACCTGGGATTCCCAATTCCTGCTTGACGGATGCGAGAAGTGGAGAGAATTCCAGAGATGCCACCCTCATAGCCGTGGGTTGCTCCAAGGGAAAATCCTCCCTAGTTTCTGGCAGACAGCCCATCGCCGGCGGCGGGGGGGGGGGGGGGGGGCGGGGGGGGGGGGACAGTGAGCTGCCCCCACTGACAGCCTGGCCTTGAAGTATAAGCCTGTGGGTGGCCCACACCGCAGGCACCCTGGCCCCATTCCAGCAGTTCCAGCAGGTTCCTGACACCTCTACCCCCAAGCCAGCCTTGGCCCAAGATGAAAGACGGAAGGGGAGGCTGGGAGAGGCTGGATGGAGCAGCAAAGGCGAGACTGGCCCTGGGCCAGGGAGATGCAGGAAGTGGACTCCCTGAGGGGCCCAGACCCCCAACAAAGAGGCAAGAGCTGGTAAGAATGTTCTTCCCACCTGCCTGGAATTGGTGGGCCCAGGCGGGCAGCTCCCCTGGGTCCCTCGAGCTGTTGAAGGCAGCTATTCCAACAGGGCCTCAGTCTCCCCAGGGGTGAAGTCAGGGGGCTAGACTGGATGCCCGTGACCTCTCGGCCAGTGTTCCCCCCAGCCTTGGACTCCCTCTGCCAATCCTGCACCTGCTTTTGTTTATAGTCCAGCAGAGCCCTCCATGGGGACATGATATTGCTGGATATTGCTGGATATTACTGGATGCCATATCCCACACTGGGTGCTGGAGCAGGGGATGGAGGATCAGAGGAGATGGGGTCTGGGTGAGGCTCCAAGGCCGCTATCATATTCTTGCCAAGCCCCTGAGGTCAGATAATAGGGCAGGATGGGCCCAGCATGGGCACAAGACCACAGATCTAAGTTTAGGGTGTTCAACCCATGGGGGAGGGTGATAGGCCCAGATTCCATCTCTTTCCCTGTTCAGAAATAAGCAAGTCAGGTCAACAGCCAAGGTCAGATTGAGTAAGGATGAGAAGCACCGACCTAAACCAGCATGCCTCTGCCGTCCCCGAACCGTGTGCCACAGTTTGCCTCATTTGTGAAATGCATGTGTTTCTGGAAACAGGCTGAGTTGACCAACGCATTTGGATCTGGATTCTACCCACAGTTCAGTTCCACAAACTGACCTTGACCTCGTCTTCCCCATCTGCTGATTTTCTTGTTCTCTCAACAGCATCTAGCAAGGACACTTAGGTCCACCTGGGAGCTGCTGCAGGTTCAGGGCCCCCCTGCACAGAATGGCCAAGCCAGAATCCAAACCTAGACCCCCACCCTGCCTCCTGGAAGTGCCCCTTTGCCCTGTGCCAAGCTGGCAGCCAGCAGAAAGGACCCCCGAACAGGGTCGGAAGGTGAGGTGGCTGCTGGCCAGGTGCCGGCTGTGTGCTCTGGGCTCACAATGGAAAGTGCTGCTGTGTGCAGTCAAGGTCAGGGCCCCAGGCCCTGCTGCCTGCCCCAGCCTGCTGAGCCAGCGCCCCCTTTGTGCCTCAGACTATAGTGCCTGGTGTCTGCCAGACTATAAAATGGGGGGTCGACCCCTAGGCACCCAGAGTGGCTGCCTGTCCACCTGCCTGTCCTCCAGCAGGAAGTGGCAAGTCCCAGGTAAGAGTTTACTGAGCTGCTGCTCCCGCAGCTGCTGCCCAGAGCTGAGGGGGAGGAGGGGGATGCAGAGGGGAACTGGAGAGGATGGAAGCCAACAACAGGAGAGAGAGACAGTGGAAGGGAGAGAACAACAGAGAGAGAGAGGAGGATGCAACCCAGCAACAGGAGAGAGAGAACAGAAAAGGGAGAGAGAGAAGGAGGGGTGTGTAACACAGCAATGGAAAAGAGAGAGAAGGAGGGAGAACGAGACAGAGCCGGGGGGGAAAAGTGGCAAGTGAGAAAGAGAGAAAGAAAGGCAGACAGAAGAAGAAGAAAGGGGGGAGGAGGGGAAAGATGAGAAGGAATCAGAACGATAGTAACCGAGAAGAGAAGTAAGCCTGGTTACAGTGAAGGCAAGATACTGGGGGTGGACAGAGACACACGCAGGAGGCAACAAGGAGAGGAGCAGAGACAGAAACAGACAGAGCCGGGCAGAAGGAGGGGAAGCAGGGGAGCCGGCGCACCCCCAGCCGCAGGAGTGTCTCCCATGGAGGGAGTGGTGGCTGCCAGCCCCAGATGTGGTCCAGATGTCTGTGGCCGATGGTGAGCAGCATATCCCACAGTGGCCGCAGGCTTTCCCAGGAGAGGCTGGAGGTCTGCCAGGCCCAAGCAGACCCTCCTTAAGGCAGCCCCCTGGGAGTACCTGGGGGTACTCCTCAAGGCAGCCCCCTGAGGGTACCTCTGCACTTTCAGGGGCTCCACCATTCCTTGAGGGAGGCAGGACAGGGAGCTTGGGTGTTTCATTCTGGAGACAAGATCAAGGCCAAACCCTCAAGGACACTTGATCTCACAGCAATGAGAAGCCACTGGAGCTGACCAGTGTGCTCCCCACCCACCGCCTACACGGCCACAGCCCTCCTGTTAGAGCCCAGGGTGCGTCCTCTGGGGGCCTCCTTCTTGCCCCAGTTCCAGGCTGGGCTTTGCACGTACTCCCCAGCTGCCAGACAGGGTCAAAAGGTGGCCACCCGGGCAAGAAGACGGGGACCTGTGCTCCTTTGCTCTTCAGAAATGCTGCTCACCGTGCCACACATACAGAGTGCAGCTGTGTTAGTGAGCTGCAAGGCCTTCTGTAACCCAGGTGTGGACCCATTTGCTAAAGGGGAAAGTGGAGGCCTTCCACCACATGTAGCCTGGGGTCAAACACCCCCTCCTCCCAGCAGCCTCAGACTGCTTCAGGGGGCTGGTGTCAGCACTATTACAGTTCTTCAACGAGTTCACTCTTCACTACCATTCACCTGCTAACTACCTGGGCAGGTGCCCTGCAGGTGCACAGATGAACAAGCAGAAGTGGGATGAAAAGCTGTAGGGGACTCAGAAGGGACCCAGCGGGGTTGCCTGGGGTACCGGGAAGGGCATGGCTGACAGAGCAGAGGGTGTGGTGCAAAGTTTGAGGGGAACTATTCTGAAAGCACAAACAAGACCCGGGTAGGACATTGGAGGCTGCGAAGCGGGATGGCACGGGAAACCATGCAAGCATAGATGTATGAAGGGCACAGGCTGAGGCCCACATGGAAAAGGTGGCGATGAACAGGGAAGCGAGGGAGCAGCCGGCTCTGCCACTGGAGACTCTTGCAGACCCAGGCTTCCTCTCCATATTTCTGCAGGCGGTGACCATGTCTCAGGCCATGAAGGCCACCGCCACGACGGCTGCGAACCCAGGGCCTGAAGCCAAAGGGAAAGGGGCCCCTCCCACAGGGCCGGCCCTGGGTTCTGGCCCTGCCCCGGCCCCAGCCTCCGGGCCCTTGCCCAGCACCAAAGCAGGAGAGCTGCCTCCTGGGAGCTTCAAGGTAAGGGGCTGGATTCCGCCTCCGATTTCTCCTCTTCCTCCTCCTCTTTTTGCTCCTCCTCCTTCCCATCTTCTTTTCTGCTTTTCCATCTTTACCATCTTTCCCTCCCCTACTCTGTCTTTCCTTTCTTTTCTTTTCCTCCTCCGTGGCTTCCTCCCCCACCTCCTCCACTGCCCTCCATTCCTTTCCAGAGGCAAATGTGCCCCAGTCGTTCTGGGGAGCCAAGGAGCATGGCCACATCCAGGAAGACAGGGCCCGCTCTGGACACCTGCTGGTTGGGTCAGATCAGCACCAGCGCTGGCCGAGAGGCCATCAGAATCTAGACACACAAAAAAAGTATTCTCAGAAAGGAAGTGGGCAAGCTCAGCAGCATGAACCACCTGCGCCCGGGGGGCAGGCAACAGGATGGCCATCAACCTTCCAGAAACTTGTTCCAAACAGCCCAAACTGTAGGGGCTCCCAAAGTGTCAGGGTTCCTGTTCTTTGGGGTTTGTCTTGGTTTTCACATTGAGGTTCCCAGATCTGGGTCATTTTGTAACCCTTGGTTCCTAATATGTGTGGACTGTGGGCAACTGCCTTTTATTTATACCATTACTGTTTAATGATTACTTTTGATGCTGTATTTACTCTATTTTTTTTTCTGAAAGCCAGAGGAACAAGGGTAACCAGAAATGAAAAGCTGGGAGTCGGAAACTCCATCCAAGTCTCACATGGGAGTGGTGGGGATGCAACAAACTCAGCTATCCCCTGCTGCCTCCCAGGGTGCCCATTAGCAGGAAGTTGGAGTCAGGAGAAGAGTTGAGACTTAGACACCCTGAAGTGCATTGTAGGCACCCCCAAGCAGCATCTTTACCACTGACCTGATGCAGCAACCACCTGCAAATCTACCGTCTGAATACATGGATGCTCCAAAAAGGGCATGGGAGGTAGGGGGTGGGGAGCGTAGGGGTCGTTGGTGAAGCTGCCACTTAGCTACTTCCCCTCTCTGAGGGCAGGTTCAAGTCCTAGTCACTAACCAACCCATCCCAGGAGGCAGCAGTGATAACTCAAGGGCTTGGCTCCCGGCTACCTGCCTGGGAGAACCCGGATGGAGTTCCTGGCTCCTGGCTTCAGCCGACCCCAGTCCTGGCTGTTGCAGACATTTGGGGAGTGAATCAGCAGATAGAATCTCTCTCTCTTCCTTTACCTTTCAAGTAAACTTTTTTTTAAAGCACATTGACACATGAAATTAAGAGGGAACTGTATTTGAGTGCAAACATGTTGAGATCCATGGCTATTTTTTCCCCCATAATATATATATATATTGGGTAAATTTTCTTAAGGGCTCTATAAAAGTCAGGACTTGTTTAAAATTAAAAAAAAAATTGCTCTGGCTAGCCCTGAAGTGCCCTCCAGGAGCCCTACAGCTTCCTCCCAGTTCCAAATCATCATCACTCACCTGTTTCCGTCATCTGCCGCCTTCTTTTGGATACATGCGTGAGTGCTAGGCCTTTAAAGGCATGTGTTTTTATAACTCACAGGCGTACGCTGAGTGTGATTATTCTCATCTTTCCATTTTTTTCTTTAAAGAGGCCGATTTATTGATTGGTTTGAACAGTAGGGTAACAGAGAAAGAGATAGAGTCTTCCAGCGATTGCTTCACTCCCCCAGATGTCCGCAGGACCCAGGGCTGTGCGAGACTGAAGCCAGGAGACGCAGATGCCTACCTGGGTGTCCCATGAGAACGGCAGGGGTCCAAGCCTTTGGGACACATTCTGTTGTCCTCCCAGGTGCCTTAGAGGAGAGCAGGGTCACAACCAAAGCCCCCAGGACTGGAATCATAGCTCAGCTATGGGAATGGAGAGGCTTACCCCGCTGCGTCTCAAGGCCAGCCCCTTTGGCCTGGGGTCTCTGCTGCTGGAAGAAGCTTCTCCTCCCTGCCTACCAGCCTCACTCTCCGCCCCCCACCCCCCGGCTTGGTGTGGGGGAGCTTCTCTCCTACAGCTGGTGGTCTTCGAGCAAGAGAACTTCCAGGGCCGCCGGGTGGAATTCTCAGCAGAGTGTGTGAACTTGGGAGACCGTGGCTTTGACCGAGTGCGCAGCCTCATTGTCACCTCTGGACCGTGAGTGTGGGGAAAGGGAGGGGCTCTCCCACGGCTGCTGGGACAACATCGTGCCCCCAGGGTGGCTGCTGTGTGTGTGCCTGCCGGTCCATGTATGTGTTCCAACCCCTGCCCATTTTACAGATGGTAAAAGCGAGACTCAGAGATGTAATCAGATTAGCGTAAGGCAACAGCGAGTTCCGGTTCTCTTGCTGTGTAGCTGCTTTTGCTGAGCCTTCCCCTGTCACAGAAGGCAGGTGGAGACCAGGAACTCCCTTCCTTTCATCTCTGCACCCCTGAGCATCTGATCTGCCTGTTTCCTCAGCAGCTTGAAATTCCCCACCACCACCACCACCACCACCACCACCACCACCACCACTAACCCTCCTAGGATCACTGGAGGCCTCTAGTGGGGAGGGGGCTATGCAGGTACTTGGTGGGCAGCTAGCCTTGGCAGGTGACTGGGATGCCTCTTTACCCTCCCTCTGGCCTTTGAATTTAGCTAAGTCAACCTGGTCCAGAGTTGGCTCTAGGGAACGGGGTGGGGGTGAGGGGATGCAGGGAGCGGTATTTCCACCTCCTGCATCCCCACCCCCCAGTTGTGGCCAACACAATCCTAGCCCCACCTTCAGTCCCCAAACTCAGCTGAGAACAGAAACTACCGGATGTGGCCAGATGGGTTTTCAGGCTTTTTTTCGGTGCTGCTGACTCAAACCTAAAGTATTTCTCCTCCAACAAAGATGCAGCTGCTTTCTGGTGTGTGTGTGTGTGCTCTGGGGCCATGCCCAGTGCGGGTAGGAAAAGGGCCTGTGAGGCAGCGAATGAGGATCTGTGTCAGGGCGGGCAGGGCTGTGGGCGAACGTGAATGATGGGTTAGGTAGTGGGCAGGGCTGGTGCGGAGGAGCCGCACAGCCCACAAGGGGGAGGATGGGGACAGGGGAGGGCCGAGGAGCCACGCCAGTCTGAAACCCAGAAACCCTTAGTCTGACACCTGACACCATCCTGTGACTTTCCACTAGGGCCCTAACCCTCCCTGAGGCTATTTCCACATCTGTAAATTTAAATGCCCATTCTCTCTCTCTCTTTCTCTCTTCCCACCCCCTTCTCTCTCTCCCCCTTCTCTTCTCTCTCTCTTTGCTCCTAGGCTCAGAGAAGCCACTAAGGAATGAGGGAAAACACAAATACGAAAAATTGCTCACCATGTAATAATAACCATCACCCCTCACTAGACAGGGTTCCTGAAGAGGACACTAGTAGGTGACCAGACCCCATCAGCGTCCATCTTTCCGTGAGCTCAGGTCTCCAGCGGTGTCCCCTGCTCAGACCCTGGATGAGAGCTGACCTGGGCATACCCTTTAGGCCCCCATCATCATCTTCTGACAAGGCAGTCACAACCATTTCCTCTTTTTCATGGAAACTTCATCAGCCTGACTGCCCTAACTCATACAGCAGATAAAGGATGAGTGAGGATCAGCACGTAGGACTGTCTGCTTCCATGATCCATGCTCTTGACTCTTACATGACGCCATCTTCCAAGGCTCGCTTCCCACCCATTCATGCATATAGCCACCTATCCTTTCATCACGCATCTACTTACCTGTCTGTTCATCCATGCATGGATCCGCTCACCCAACCGCCTTCTTTCCATCCATTCATATGTCTACTGTATCCCTCCCTCCTTTTCTTCATTCAGCCACTCAACTGTCTACCCATATATTCTTCTACACACATGCCATCCACATGCCCATCCACTCAGCAACCATTCTCCCACTCATCCACACATCATCCTTCCACCCAACCATCCACCCATCCACTACCTATCTGCCCACCTACGCTTCCAACCATCCACCCACCCATCCATCTACCTACCCATCCATCCACCCACCCACCCACCCATCCATCCATCCATCAGTCTACCTACCCGTTATTTACCCAACCACCCATCATCCATCGATCCATCCATCCATCTCTCCATCTGTCCATCGTCCAGCCAGCCAGTCTTCCTCCCATGTATTCTTTTCTCTTCTACTCCAGACCACGCACAGCTGAGGAAAATCCCTCTCTACTCTGCAACTATGAGTCTGTCACTCCAATGTGGCTCACCCAAACCTCTCTCCCATTTCCTGGTGGGCAGGGAGAGAAGTTCCCAGGAGCCCCTAGGGAGCTGAGGCTAGTGTCATTGTCTGAGAACACCAGAGCACACACAGAGCAAAGTCCACCTTCCCCTCTGTGATACGGAGGTCACTTTAGCCTCTCTAACTCAAGCTCATGCCCCACCCCTGAATCTGGCTCTAGCCAAGCCAGAAAAAGCCCTCATTGGGCTTCTAGTTAGTCCTTGCAAAAAGGCTAAGTGCAATCCTATGCACCATCACATTTTGTTCTTGCAGGTGCATGCTCCTATGGTTCCCCTCCAGCTACCCTGTACCTGTTACTGAGTAGCTCCTGATGCCGGCCCAGTCTTGATCCGGTGTCTGACTCAAGCACCTGCCTCAAATATTCCCTCACCTCACCTCTGTTCCTCTGGAACCATGATTTACTTAATAAGAGTCATCGAAAACGGTTCTCTTTTTGAATGCAAATAAAGCATATCCCTTTATAAATGGAAAGCCGAGGGCACCCCTCCACACCGTCCCCATACCCCCTGCAGAAAGTAAAAGGTTCCCATGAGGACTTAATCCAAGGAACACAAAACGCAGCCCTGTGATCCCATTGCCTACTTGAGGTTCTGGACCTGTGCCCTATTCCTTCTTGTGTTACAAAGAGAGAGATTAGTAAGTGTTAAAGTCACCTTGACATCAAGCCGAGCGGTCCCCCAGCTGTAACTAAACTTCAAAGCCACATTTCTCTGCGTGTTCCACGGCCTCGGGGCCTAGGAACGTTTGAGACGCACTAGTGCAGTCTGCTTATGCGGACACAGTTTGCTCAGGTAATTACACGCATGATCTCATTCCATCCTTGGCGAGTTCCAAGAAGATAGGTTGACGACTGCTGGTAAAGTCCCTCGTGCTGAGAGGAGCCCCACAAGCAGGCAGTGATACAGCCTAGCATTAAGCCCGGGCCGTACCAAGCCCACTCTGGACTTTGTTCCTGACCTCAGAGCAAGGGGTGCTGGGGAGGCCGGGGGAGCTGCTGAAGGACTTTTGCTAATGACAGCTTTGTGGTCCTTGTCCCCTACAGCTGGGTTGCCTTTGAGCAGTCCAACTTCCATGGGGAGATGTTCGTGTTGGAAAAGGGCGAGTACCCTCGCTGGGACACCTGGTCCAGCAGCTACCGTAGCGACCGCCTCATGTCCTTCCGGCCCATCAAGATGGTGAGTGGTTCTGGGGCCAGTGGCAAGGACAGGCACTGCACCACAAGCAAGGAAGGATGCCGGATGGGAGACATGGTGACCTTGAAAGCATCCCAAGGATAGTAGGTTCTCGTGTTCATCATTGGGGCATTCAGCCCTGCACTGGGAGCGCTGGGCACAGGATAAACCACAAACCAATGTTTTCCCCTTTCTGCTGTCAGGGGAGTGGCCTCAACCTTCTGGGCATTTGGAGTAGAAATTGCGACGTCTGCCTTAACTCTGTTGGAAGAAAGACTCAAATCTCCCAGCTGCAAGCAACATCCTTGCAGTGGATTTTCAAAACCCCACAGCCCATCCACACATCAAACAGACGGGCTGTACTATGTGCAGCAACTAAAACAGGGCATTGCCAATTGCTGTAGAAAACCCGCTTGAGCTTTTTGATCATCAGACACAGCCGAATCCGCTTCATTCACTCATCGTAATGTTTTGTTAAAGTCAAGCCAAGGTGACAGAGATGGGGCTAGAGATATCCTTAGGGAACCCGAAGGCTTTCCAGAATTATGAATTGATTGTGGGTCATAAGCTAGTCATAGCTTAGTCACCCGGCGGTATAGCCTCTGCTGGCCACCAACTTTTTTTTTTTTCAAAAGCACTAATTTTATTTTTTACTTGAAAGGCAGTGTAATAGACAGAAGGTAAGACAGAGATCTTCCATGTACTGGTTCACTCCCCAAATAGCCACAGGAGCTTCTTCTAGGACTCACACATGGGTGCAAGGGCCCAAGGACTTGAGACATCTTCCACTGCTTTCCCAGGCCATAAGCAGTGAGCTAGATGGGAAGTGGAGCAGCCAGGGCTAAAACTGGTGCCCATAGGGGATGCCGGCGCTGCAAGGAGGACGATTAACTAGTTGAGCCACCATGAGCACCAGCCCCAGCCACCAACTTTTGCTTGCCACAATGGGAAGATTCATGCAGAATCTTTCTTTTTCTTTTTTTTAAAGATCGATTTATTTATTAGAAATGCAGAATGACAGAGAAAGAGATCTTTTTCACTCCCAATGGTAACAACAGCTAGGATCAGGACAAGCTGCAGCCAGGAGTATAGAACTTTGTCTAGGTCTCCCCAGTGAATGGCAGAGGCACAAAGCCTTGGGTCTTCTTCTGTTGCCTTCCCGTGAGCATTAACAGGAAGCTGAACTGGAATCTGAGCAGGTGGAACTCCGGTACAGAACACCAGCTTCACTGTGCTGCAGTGCCGGCCTCTATGCAGAATGTTCCTGAATGTCTGTTTGAGATTCTCAGGCACCAGCAGCTGCTATTTGGGCTTCACCCAATGCATCTTAGTAGTTTATATAACCACATCATTTCTCCCCATCTTTCTCAGAATCAGAGGCTGAGCCCCAACAGCCTTCCTAAGGGACTCTTGGTAAGAACACCTAGATTTTTCTCTCCATCATGGGATGATCCTTGTATGGCAATCCATGTCAAGGAAGCTCATCCAGAAGAGTGACCCCGGTCTCTTGTGTAGGTGGTAGGGATCCAGGTGCTCTCGCTCTCCCAGCCATCACTTGTGCCTTCCTGGGATTGTAGTCAGCTCTCCAATCCCAGCCCTCCAACATGGGCCACAGGGTTCTTAACTGCTAGGCCAAAGGCCCACCCCTAGAACAGCTGTAATCTTTTCTTGGTACAGTTTTTCATTTGTGTTGGATCCCCGATCATCACAGGTGTTGATGGGACACAGCGTTAAGGCCTTATTTTTTTCTCATCTACTCTCTCATTGGCAGGTTCCCTCCTCCCTCACAACTCTTCCTCCTAGGAAATTTGAAGGAATAAGATAAAAAACCAGAGCATCCCTTACCTAGGGGCTGGGCTGCTGAGGGGGAGAATGGGCAGGGAAGGAGTGGTCAGCCCCATGAAGAGTGGGCAGAACAGGATGTGCCAAGGCCATGCTGGATATGACCAAGAACATTGAAAGTGACTGCAGAGGGAGGGAAGGAGACAGACAGACACGGCAGTGGGGATGGACAGTAGCCAGGTCTACAGGCTCCCCTAGGCCACCCCCAAAGGAGTTTGTTCTGACTACGCCCAAGCAGGGAGCCCCTGACTGACTTCACTTTCCCGAGATGCTCAAGGTTGTGACAGTAATGAATGATAGCTCTTACCAACTGGGCCCCTGTGCTCCTAAGTCTACCTCCCACCATGCACACAGCTTCTTGCACCCTGGTCACATGGCCAGTCGCTCTTAGGTACCATCATCACACATATCCCAATCCCCAACCCCTGCTGTGCTCAGCAATTTCCCCTTGAGCCCTCTCTTCTTAGCTTTCCAAACCCCTTCTTCCCCTCCAAGGCCCCTTACGAATGTCACTTCTTCCATAAAGCCTTCCCTGATCTACTTCCCTTCTCTTTGGGGAACCAGTCCCTTCTTGATTTCCTGGATTCTTCCCAGAGGGATGCATGCACCTGCAGCATGGGCTCCTCCTGCTTCTAGGGATGAGAAGTACCCCTATTCCTGAACCCTATTTCCTGAGCACCTGTTGCCCACTGGGGGATTTGCACGCCTTTTATGCAATTTTTCATGATTTATTTTTATTGGCTTGAAAGGCACAGTTACAGAGAGAGAGAGAGATCTCCCACCTACTGATTTACTCCCCAGATAGTCACAATAGCTGGGGCTGGAGCAGTTGCAAGCCAGGAGCCAGGTGGTTTTTCCAGGTGTCCCCTGAGTGTAACAGGGCCAATGCACTTAGGATATCTTCCAAGGTGCATTAGCAGGGAGCCAGATCAGAAATGGAGCAGCCAGGATTTGAACAAGGACTGTAGGCAACCCTATTGGGAAACTGGGGGTCACAGGCAGCGGCTTCACCAGATATATGTCACTGAACTGGCCCCCTTTTGTGTAATTTTTACAGCAGTGCCAAGGGGCTGAGGTGATCACAGTACGAACATTAAAGACAGGGACAGTGAAGTTCAGAAGTGGAGGGCTTTGGGCCATATGGGCACTGAGTGGTGGGGCTGGGATTCAAACGCACATGCACATGACACCAATGACATTCATCATGATTTCCCGCCTTCCAATCCCGCCTATCACAATTCATGATTGCTTTCTTAAAGGTGGAGAATCCTTGCCCCTGAAACCGCAGGTCAACTTACAAAACCAGATGTGCAATCCTGAAGCAAATCATGTGCCCAAGTTTAAGGGTGGGTGTGTTCCAAAGCCATCATGAATGGAAAGGTTTGTCAGTCATAGTGCCCTGGGGCCACTGGAAGCCCATTGCACAAATGACCAGCTGGAAGCACAGCAGGGCAGGGCCACCACACCAAGGACACCAGCGTGTGAATGTCAGAGGCTGTTCTGAATCTAGAACACATTCCATCAGGTCCCATGGTACTCTAAACGTCAGTCCATCCATTACTTTGACCCAGGTTGCAAGAAGTACTTACACAAAAGCAGTTAGTGAAGTGCTGGAAGGCCATGTACTCCTGAAAGCTGCTACCCTTACTAGCTGTGTGACATTGACCACAAACCCTGACCTCTCCGAGCCTCTGCACCACACCCCTCACTGACTATTGCCCTAACAATTATTGCATCCAACCTGAGACCTCTCCCCAAGAAATGCAGCCCAGACAATTCTGCAAAGCAACAAAATTCGTTGAGGAGGCCGGTAAACAGACCAACCGGCTGGGGTCAGCTCTCCTTTCCTTCAGAGAGTGACCCCAAGGTGAGGATTGCAAGGGTGTTTATAGAATGGGCGTTAGGCAGCTGTGGAAACCAGTTGAGTTGGGCAGCCATGGGAGGCAGCCACGGGAACCAGGGTTACTGGCAAGGCATGTTGCACCTTGCGCTTTGGTCCAAAAAACAGGACTGGCAAAGCATTTTATGCAGAAGTAAAAAAATGGAGCAGGTTAGTAAACTTATGCAGGTCTGAACCAAAGTGACTCATTCTGTGACTGATTTCCATACAATCACACTTGGCATTTGGAGCTGTTGCTGTGTTCATGTGCCTGGCAGCATGCTCCATGCTCTATGCCAGGTCATTATCATCTCAGCACGAAGTGGTGGACTCTGTGACCCCTTTTCACAGATGATGACCTCCGGAGAGTGTCCACCAAACCTCCTGGGAGTATTCTCTTTGCACTCTCAGGAGACCCCGACAAGCTACCTCTGCCTGCCCCACCCCCGTGTCCCACTCCTAATCCCTCCTCTCCCTCCCCAGGACTCCCAGGAGCACAAGATCTGCCTGTTTGAAAGTGCCAATTTCAAGGGCAACACCATGGAGATCCAGGACGATGACGTGCCCAGCCTCTGGGTCTACGGCTTCTGTGACCGCGTGGGCAGCGTGAAGGTCTCCAGTGGAACGTAAGTCCCATCCCCTGCTTCAAATACACGTGCCCAGACCTGGAGGCTGCCCCCACTTCTTCCGCCTTACAGGATGCCATCCCCAGCTTCTCCCAAATCCTTCTGGGGCTGGCACCTGAAATACCCTCCATAGAGCTGTGTTCTGCATCCCCTGTGTCCTCCGCTCAGGCAGTCTGTGTGAGAGCCTGGTCCAGCCACCAAAATGCTGAGGAACCTGGCAGGTGATGGGGCAGGGGGGCAGGGCACCTGTCTGCATCTCAGTGTTGCCAGCTGGACCATTGGGCACAGTGGACTCTGATCCACTCTCCACTCCCACCAATCAGCTTTCCTAAGCAGAGCCCCCTGGCCCTGTATCCTGCCAATGACAGGAGGAAAAGGCAGGATGCCCACAGGAGACCACTGTATCCCCTCCAAGTAGCTGTGCCAGGGATCACCACCCCCATCTTGACCCCTCTGTCTCTACAGCCCAGGCTGGTGCTGAGGCCCTCCATGTGTCAGGGCGCTGGCTTCTAGCTTGCTTCTCTCCCATTTCCTGAAGCCTGTATTTCTACTCTTAAAGTCATCATGGATCTGCCAGGGTCCTGCCTCTGACTGGCAGGGGAACTTCCTCTGGCTGGCAGGGGAGCCCCAGGCACACCTGTGAGATGGTGTCTAGCCAGGCTAACGGATGCAGGGGGCCCCAGCAGGTGTTCATGCTGCAGGAGGTTGGAGGAGGAAGGGAAGTCTCTGGGATGTGTGTGTGTGTGTGTGTGTGTGTGTGTGTGTGTGTGCATACCTAGGACAGCAGGCAGCTCCAAGGGTTATTTGAAGAGGCTGGAGCTTCAATCAGGCTTTGAAAGATGAGAAGGGGGTCTGGCTGAAACCCAGAAAGACCCCCAAGAAAGAAGAAATTAAATCGCTGGCATGCACAACTGTCATGAGTGGTGTGTGGTGTGTGTGTGTGGAGACTGCTAACCAATATCCATGAAGAGTTAGGGAAACTTTCTAGCAGGTGGATCCACTGCTGTGGATCCTCACAGCTCAGCTACCTGGATTTTCACAGCCAGTAAGCGGAAGAGCTAGGACTCAATCCTAGAACAGCATTTACAGTGATTACACATGAATCCATTCACACGCAAAGATCATCCAATTTTTGGAAACAAATGGACTCCTTGCTAAGCAATCGGAAAGCACCACCTTTGCTCCCTTGGGTTCCATTCTTCGAGTTCTTGGATCCCCATACTCGCTGGGATGTGTATCGGTCTCATTACCCCGTGTAAGGCCACACACTCAGCAAACAGCTGAAATATACTTTTCCTTTGCTGCCTCCCTTCCCTCGCCACCCCCAAAGCATTCTTGATAAACCAGGTACAGTGCTGGGCCCATTCCTCAGATTGGAAACTGAGGCCTCTCAGGAGTGAGTGCGCATAGCAAGTAAGAAGGGGTTCATTCAGAGCAAAGGAGCCCCAGGTGGCCCACACCCAGGTCCCCAGAGGTGAGCTATGGAGAGGAGGTGAGCTATGGAGAGGAGACTGCTGGGATCCATCGGGTTCTTGCTCTAATGAAGTCCCCAAGGCAGGCTGTTTTAGAAAAAAGACAGTTTGACTTAGTCCCATGGTTCTAAAGGCTCAGACTCCCAAGATCACACGGGTCCCGTGGGTTCAGCCTCTGCTGATGGCAGCGTCCCCAGGGCACAGGGCACACGGCAGGAGAGGAGGAGTTCATGTCTGGCTCTTCTTACTCAGTCACAGGAGCTCCACCCTCGTGTCTTGGTCCAATCTCATTGCTTTCCCTCGGGGACCCCACCATTAACGCTGCAACTGCCTTAAATGGGCACCCTGTTAGTCCCATATGCATGGGGTTTCAGGGACTGCTGTCATGGGAGACAAACCTACAAAGCACAGCAACGGGAGAACCAACTGGTCCCTCCAGACATGGGTCCAGGAGCCAGGCTATCCTTCTTGCTTTCCTCCCAGATGGGTTGGCTATCAGTATCCTGGCTACCGTGGGTACCAGTACCTCCTGGAACCTGGAGACTTCCGGCACTGGAACGAGTGGGGGGCCTTCCAGCCACAGATGCAGGCTGTGCGCCGCCTACGTGACAGACAATGGCACCGTGAGGGCTGTTTCCCTGTCCTGGCCGCTGAGCCCCCGCAGTGAACCCTGGAGCATCTCCACTTTCTGGACCCGCCCCCTCCCAGGCTCCACGTCCCCACCATTCCCATGCAAATAAAAATCCCTAAGCTACGATGTCTCTTGGTTCTATGAATAGATGTGTGCATGGACTGACTTGTTTAGTCTTCAACATTTAACAATAACAATGCAAAGGGCTTTTCAAAGTTATTTTGTTTTTCTTTTGAAAGAAAGAGAACTCATCTCTACTGTTGCACTTCGAGGGTAGGGCCAGCCCTTAACTAGTCTGGAAACTAATCCATACTAATCCAGTGGCAGAGTCCCACTCCTTGAGCTACCACAGTTGCCTCCCAGGGCCTACATGAGCAGGAAGCTGCAATTAGGGACAAAGCCAGGACGTCAAACCCAGGATTATGGATGTCCCAAGCGGGTGGCCTCTTCAACACTTTATCCCATGCCCACCCAGGCAAAGTTCTGATCTATATATTCTAGCTAATCTTTCAGACAAGCCTGGGAGGTTGATGTTCAACCTATTCCCGTGGAGGCTCAGAGAGGGGAAGTGACTCACCCGAGACCACAGAGCTAGTCAGTGTAGACTTGAACCCAAAGAGATGAGTTCAGAGCCTGCACTACATTTTCAAACTCACGCTGTGCGCACCACAGTCTGGATATTTTTGTCACATCTGCACACCACCTGGTCTGGTTTTGACTTCGTATTTGTCTTTAAATAGACTTACTATTGTGCACTTCCACCATTGGTTTGTAAATGACCCTTTGCTGCACCGTACGAAGTAGAAAATCAGTAAGTATCAATCAATCATTCCACAAGCATATACTCCAGTCAAATCTATCAGTCAAATACATCAAAAGGAGAGGAAGCCAAACTCTGTGGATGCTACTGCCCTAAGCAGACTTGGAGTCTGCAGTCAACGTAGGGGACAAGCGTGAAAGAGGGACACACAGCTCCTTGTTTCAACAAAGATAGAAAATGGCATTGTTTTCCTGTATCTGACTCGGTGTTACTTATTTCAAGATCTGTCCACTTGATTTGAGAGAGTTACACAGAGGGAGCCAAGAGGGAAAGAACAAGCATCTTCTATCTGCTGATCCACTGCCTCAAATGGCTGCAACAGGCGGGCTGAAACCAGAAGCCAGGAACTCATATGGATTTCCTACTCGGGTAGCAAGGGTCCAAAGACCTGGGTTATCTTCTGCTGCCTTCCCAGGTGTGTTAGCAGGGCGCTAGTTCAGAAGCGGAGCAGCCAGGGCTCAAATTGGATGCTGACATTACAAGCTGCAACATAATCCTTAGCAGCACAATGCCAGTCCCTGTATCCCTGTTATTTCCTTCTGGGTCCAAGTTCAACTTGGAATAATCTGTGGAGTAAGTGTCTTGTAGGTACTGCTAACTCCCATATCAGCAGTTCACACGGATTGAGGTTATTGCCCATTAGTCCACAGTGAAGCTCCTCAAGCAGGTGGGTGTTGTTGCTGAGGTTACCTTACAGGGTTCCCTTGGTGAAGGATGGAGGAGATGACATTTCTGGCGGAATAAGCAGTAGAGTCTCTATTACCTCAGACAGCACTTTGGCATACAAGATTCAAAAGACATCTCTTCCTCAAGATTTGCCATCTGTTCAACATTACCAGTATGAGATTAGGAGGGCTGTGGTATGAGTGCGGCACCCTTGGGCTGTGCTCTACCTGCACATCCAGCTGTGACAGGTGCCACACCACGCACAAGGGTTCAGGGGGTGAGAGAGCTGGCCTTGAGTCTAAGCATAGCTCACCAAAGCAGCAGCTTGGTGCTTGTGTGGGCAGAAGTGGGAGACAGGAAAGGGGTGCTGAATGTGGTAGAAGATGGAGCGAACAGGCTACTCTGTGGTTTCCCTGAGCTGCAAAGTGGTAGGTGCCACCTCCCCCAGTTTTCACTGGCATGTGCTCTTTGAGGTCCCGGCCGTCTCACTTGTTCTTCTACCCTAGTTCTCCTAACTCCACCCTGTGATTTACTCAGCATTTTAAACAAGAGCCCAGACTTGCCCAGGAACCAGGATTGAGGAGAGGGGAAATTAGATCTGTGGGCTCTCTCCGGAGGGTGTTGACAAAATACCCCCATTCCTTAAGACTGTTCCTCCTTTGCTTCTGAAAGACAGCTGCTCACTTGTCCACTGGAGCCCCAAGTCCTGTTGCTGGGATTGCACAGCCCCAAGTTTCCCTGATTCTCCAAGATTCTGTCCTTTATTCTCCAAGCTTCTAGGATTCTCTCATTCCAAAGTCAAGTGCATTCTTGACAGTTCCAGTTGTAGAGTTCTGCTTTAGCAGACCTGAGCTTCACAGAGTTGACCCCCACACTTCCTCAACCCCAAGCTCGTATTGCTAAGATGCCTGGTGACTGTATAGCTCCAGTAAGGACACAAGGAATCCCCCCTATGGAAACCCAATTGCTTCCCGGTTACCCAGGATTTTCGCGTTGTCCTGATTGAAATAACTAGTTTGTACGTCTTTGGATCTAACAGTTTTCTGTGTCTCAATCTGGTGAGTCCTATAAAAGGAAGATACACGAGGGATTCTTCAGTTCCATGAGCCCTGAAATGTCTTTGCATCGGCAGTCCAGCACTTTTGAACTGATCTCAACTCAGACAGTGTAATCTCTCACAGATGGTAACATACCAAAAAACAACAACAACAAAAACCAAGCTCCCATTTGCAAATCAGATCTGCACACTTGGCCAAACCAACAAAACCCAAAGAAGGTAACACATCACATTGTTATTTCTGTATTTAACTTCTTTTGGATAAATGTTTGACTCTATAAAACACATGGTACTAACAACCCAGAACATAAAAAAGGAGAAGCCACAGTAAATAACACAGATGAAATAAAATGGAAAAGAATAAAAGGAAGGAGTCCAAAGGCCAGGACAGAGTGTAATAGGAGAGCCAGAGACCAAGGCCCTCCCTTCTTGCCACCTGTTTTTGAAAAGCAGGCAGCTGGCCACCACCTGCAGCAGGATCCCAGAGCTCAAAGCCAAGTCCCCATTTTTGTATTGAAAACGGAAACATCGCGTTTCAACTTTATCGGATGCTGGGCATCTTGCGTGTGTGTTGGCGGGGGGGGCGGGGGAGTTATGCTGGAGGGAAGCAGTGGAGTTGGACTCCAAAAGCAGCCCTGGAGCTCCTGATGTGTGTGTGTTGGGGGAGCGGGGGAGGAGGGTGTTACTCTGCACAGTACCTGGGAATCTGCCTGACTTTGTTCCCGAAATACTGGCTTTGCGGCTCAGTGTCTGGACAGAAAGGGAACTCTAGGCTTTGTCGTGGGCACTGGGGAGCTGGCATCCAGTGCACGTACACAGTGAAGGCAGGGGACCCATTCGCAAAGCCAGCAGAGGTGTTGGTGGTCACCTGGTATTGGACACACACATCCACTGAGGTCAGCTGCTGACGGACGCTCACTGACTGCGTGTTGCGGAAAGGATGTGGTGGTACTGAGAGCGGAGGCGGGAACTGATTTTCTGCCAGGAACATTTGGCGTTTGCCGGCCCTACAACATGACCAGCTTCAATACCCAGTCAGCTGTAGACGTATTGAATTTCGAGTCCTGTCTGTGGCTGTCTTGGCAGGGCTGGATCAGATAATTTCGTGGGCCTTCTACATATGGTCAGCAGGCTGGTCATTGCCCACGCTGGTTCTAAAGAAAGGGGCATCTTGTTGAGAGTCACACTGCCATTATGGCCTCCGGGGATCTTGGTGGACGTGACAGCAGCTCACCATTCTTGTCCTCTAGGTGACCCTGGGATTCATGCCCCTCCCATCCTGTGGGATAAACAGTTATTAAGGTAACCTGCCACAGGCAGTGTTTGATCCAATGCCTGGAACGTTAATGTTTCTTCAGAAGGTGTGTGTACATTCAAAGTCAGCTATAGGCATCTTTGCCTATGGATCCCTCCAAAACCCAGGGATGTGGCTCAGCTGGCTAAGCCTGACCTTTGCAATGCCAGTATTCCACACTGGAGCACCAGCGCCAGTCCCAACTGCTCCACTGCCAATCCAACTTTCTGTTAATATGAAAGGTAAAGGAAGATGGCCCAAGTGCATGAGCCCCTGCCACCTGCATGGGAGACCTGTATGGACTTCCTGAATCCCAGTTTTCGCCTGCTCCTGCTGTTGAGACTACCTAGGAAGTGAACCAGTAGAGAAAATCTCTCTCTTTCTGTCTCCTCCTCTCTGACACTCTACCTTTCATATTATTTATTAGCTAATTAATTTTTTTAAAGCACCTTTTTCTCCCACATGGGGTACAGGAATCTTCACACATAGATATATGATGTAGTTATTGTTATTGGAAAGGCAGACTTGCAGAGAGCAGGAAATACAGAGAGAAAAATCCTTCATTCGCTGGTTCACTCCCCAAATGGCTCCAATGTCTGGAGCTGAGCTGATCTGAAGCCAGGAACCAGGAGTCTCTTTCGGGTTTCCCACACAGGTGCAGGGTCCCAAGGCTTTGGACTATGCTTTACTACTTTCCCAGGTCACAGGCAGGGAGCTGGATGGAAAGTGGAACAGCCAGGACACAAACTGGTGTCCATATGGGATCCCAGCACATGCAAGGTGAGGATTTAGCCAATGGGCCATCACACCAGGCCGATCTTCGAGCCTTATGGCCACCCACAACTACACTTCTGCCTGTCCATCACTAATAAAACCCTTTCTGGGTCATTCTTAGTTTATCCATCTCTTTCTTCCATCTCCCAGCAACTTCCATCATTGGCAACTGGTGCCAATTTACCAACTTTTCCCGAAGCACCTGGCTTAGACCCGCAGAATCAAAGGTTGCTTTATAAAGCCTGCATCCCCAGCTAGGAATGGTGATGCCCCTCCCCCACAAATCTTTCTAGCATGAAAGAGAAGCTGCCCCTCGGCCCTGTGCTTCCTGTCCCTTCAGGACCGCCTCCTGCTATCAGTTGAGAGCAGCTTTCGTTTGCTCTCCTGTACTGCTCATCACCAGCTGTTGAACTTGAAGATTTTGGTACAGACTCTCTTTCCCCACCTGTAAAATGGGAATAATGATGATAACGCCTCAGAAGCTTGCGGGGAAGAGCAAACAACCGGCTTGAATAGAACGTGTACGAGGCACGTAGCATCCAGAAGTACCAGCATCCCGTGTGGCTGCTAAGGGAGCAGCAAGACCCTCCCCTTCGTTGTCAGAGCTGGAAAAAGCTTTGGAATCAATGCATCTTGCACTGCACGCATCCTTTTCGCTTTCCACAAATATTGATTGCCTCCCAAGAGGCAGATTCTTTTCTAGACATTGGGGAAGGAGAAAGAGGGAGGCCCCACCCTGGGTGTTCCCAGACTATTGATGCCCACAAAGGAAGGTTCTTTCACCTGCCTTCAAGGTCACATCAAATTCCCAGGCTGTATGGCTCCACGTCGGGATGGCTCTTGGTGCCCTTGTGGGGGTGGAGTGGGTGTGGACAGCCAGGTTTCCTCAAGGAGGTGACACCCAGGAGACCTGGAAAGGCTAGGGGAGCTGGAGACAGAAATGAACAGGTGCATTCTAGAAACCTCCTTTGCTTCACAACTGAAATCTGCCAAGCCAAACATCTCCACATGTGGAACATTCTCTCCACGCCCTCATCCTTCCCCCTGGCCTTGCAATCCCACCCTGGATTATGCTGGCAGCCTCCTTATCCAACCGCCCAGGTCCCTCTCATTGGGGCAGCAGTCAGCAGGCTCTCAGCCAAAAGCCCCGGCTAATCACGCCCTTGCCCTGTTACACACACACCTTGTGCACCTCTCTCCATGGCTGCCAGTGAAACCCCAATGCCGTCTCAGCCCAGGAAAACCTGTGGACCCCTCTGATCTCGTCTCTCAGCATCACCACCACCACATCCTGGCCACTCTGCACTGCCTGCAAGGTTCCACTTCCTTCCTGTAGGACCTTTGCACCTGCTGTTCTCTGTGACCCACACACGCTTCCACAGACCCTTTCTCGCCCCTCCGGCCTCAGGGTAAATGCCTCTGACCCTCCCGCCCACCAGGCACCTGGCCAGACATCAGCAGGTCTGGCTGCCCTGGCTTGGATGCAAAGTCCTGGTCTCCTGTTCCCTGTGGAATCCCAGTGGCCCCCCACACAGCCCTCAGGAAGTGCTGGGCTGCCCCAGTTCAGATGTCTTCTTTTGATTTCCGTTTCTCCACCCACCGAAGGACGTCGCACAAAACCCGGCTAGTGTTTAATCTGTGTGTCTATCAGATTAGTCATAGCCTCTACCAGGCCACCAACAAACACTGTCTCAGATTTTTTAATGGTTTTCGAGACCAGTAATACGGCAGCTTCATGGATGTAATGGGCTTCGTTTTGCCAGTCCCTGCACCATTCCTTCAAAAGGATCATTCACTGGATAATTACATGAACGGATGAACCACAAAGGAACCCATGGCTGGCCATGGACATAATGCTTCATATCTGTGTGCCTTGCTTTGTCCGTCCCAAAATTTATTCATTTGCTGGTTTGAAAGGCAGAGCAACAGAGAGTGTGTGTCTGTGTTTCCATTTGCTGGTTTGCTTCCTACATGACTGTAATAGCCAGAAGACAGGAGCCTGCAGCTTCATCGCCATCACCCAACCATCTTCTGCTGCTTTCCACACCCATTCGCAGGAAGCCATATTGGAAGTGGAGCAGCCAGGACTCAAATCAGGCTTTGGTACACTACACGCCCGTGGGTGTGTGTAACAATGGTTGCTGCTGGAATTGTTGACTGACACACAGACTGAAGGGAGAGCAAAACCAAAGTTTCACGGTGAAGGCCAAGCCTGCCAAGTGCCTTCCTCCCTCAGTTCTGCAGGCCTTCGATGCTCAGGCATGTGACACTGGCACTCGGGGGAAGCCTGGAGGAAGAAGCTGTGAATCAGAGGTTTGTGAGCCTCACGTTTCAGCCATTCGGTTGCTGAGTATTGGGGATTCTCAGCGCCGGTACTACCACTAGTGCACTCTAGATGTTTTGTTGTTGCTGCTGTTGTTAAGCTGCGGGGGTGCAGAGGAAGGCCTAATAACATCCACGGGCCAGTTAGCAGGAAGCCCACCACACTCGCAAGGTGTGGTAATCAACCAAGGTCAAGTAACGGGAAAGTCCGACGTGGACGCGTGTGTTTCTGTGCAAGCAGCCCCTCCCTCTTGTTTTCGGGAGTTCACAAGCACACCCCAGCTCAGGGAGAAGCGGGCGGCGAGGGTCCACTTCCCTTGGCTTTGAAACACGATTGCATGGCGGTGCATCCACCGCACTGCCTCTAGGCAACAGCGGCCCTTGTCTCCAACGCAGCGAAAGCGCCTGGCACTCGGGCGCTGCCAGAGGCCACGCTGCAGCTCTGAGGGCAGCCTCCAAGCTCCGCCGGCCTCCCCTGCCTCTCTCCCCGGCTGCACCTTGCTTGCACTCCGCCGGCTGCAGGAGGGAGGCGGGCAGGGGGAGCGGCAGCAGGCGGAGCCTGGTCGGCCCCCCGCCCTTCCCAGCGACGTCACGGCGCCGAGCCCCCGCCCCGGCCCGCGCGGGCACCTCCCCGTTCCCCCAACCGGGGCGGCTGGCTGCTGGCTGGCTGCTGGCTGGCTGGCTGGCGATCGCCGAGAGTCTGGGAGGCGCGCGGGGCCGCCTGGTCGCGCCTCGTCTCCACGGTAAGGATGTCCCGGGGGGGCGGCACGGGCAGCGTGGTGGGGAACCTCGGGCTGCGAGCGTGGGGCGCATGGCGATCGGCCTAGGGGTGCCGAGGAGGAGCTCTCGGTGCTGGCGTCTGCCCTTCCCCTCCCCCGGGCCCGGCGCGCCTGCTCGGGCTCGGCGGGCGGCCGGGAGGATCGTGGCGCCCCGAGCGCTTGCTTTCAGGCGCGGTGCGGCACAGCCCGGAGTGGTCACTGCGCGCTTCCCACTCGGGACCCTGTGTGTGTGTGTGAGAGAGAGAGAGAGGGAGAGAGGAGAGAGGCGGGGGGCGCCCGCGTGTCACCGCCTCCGGAGTCCCCAACCTCGCCCCGGAGCGCGGGAACCCCCCACCCCCACCGCACCCCACTCGGGCGCGTGCAAGTTAACTTGGAGCCGCTGCCGCCGTCGAGTCCCGAAGTGGAGGCTTGGGACGATGAGAGGGGAAGGGAGTGCCTGAGAGACCAGGGTGGCGTGGTGGCGGGGAGCCCTTGGTGAACTTGGAGGTCACACAGGACCGCCCCTACACACACACACACATACAACTTCCTCTCCCTCTCCGAGTTTGGGGGACTGTGAGCAGCAGCGGCGGCCCAGAACGGTTGGGCCCCTAGGACAGGGATCCTAGGACAAGGATTCCGGTCTGGCATTCCCAGGGCAGAAGTGGGAGTGAACCTCTATCCCCACTGCACCCTCCCTTTCTGTGCATGGGAGACTGTGGTCTTAGGACCCTCAGCCAAGATGGGGTACAGCTGCAACTTGCCCTCTGGCCTCCTGCTCCTGTGATCCCTAGCGGAGATCCTGCTGGGGAGAGGGGCTGGTGGGGCTCCCATTCACCCTTCAGAATCCTGCCCCTGGCTGCAGGCACCTGGTTCTGCCCGTGGCCAGGCGTGATGGGGGTGCTTCCAGTTTTGAGCCCTCTACTGACAGCCAGCCTCTCCAAACCCCTCAGCTCACGAAACCCTTTGGCATGTCTGTGTCCTGCCCCTTGCAGTCGGTCTGTCTCTCTCCTCACTCACCTTTCATTGTGGCCAGGTGGCCCCGTGGTTAGACCAGGCTGCACAGCTATGGCTGTGACTCACTCTGCTTTTCTAGTTTGGTAGTGAGGTGGCTGGAGCCAGTCATTGTCCCCACCGCTGAGCCCGGCGTCCATGACTTGTCAGGTTGGAGCTGTTGTCCTGTCTTCCAGGAATTGTTGCCTCATTTATGAGCCTTGGTATCCTGCCCCATCAATGCTCTTAATTCTTTATTATGTATCTTTCATATCCTGTTTTTTTTTTTTAGATTTATTTATGGTTATTGGAAAGGCAGATTTACAGAGAGGAGGAGAGACGGAGAGAAAGATCTTCCATCTGCTGGTTCATTCCCCAGGTGGTCGCAGTGGCCAAAGCTGAGCCAATAGGAAGCCAGGAACCTCCTCCAGATCTCCCATGTGGATGCAGGGTCCCAAGGCTTTGGGCCGCCCTTGACTGCTTTCCTAGGCCACAAGCAGGGAGCTGGATGGGAAGTGGAGCAGCTGGGATATGAGCTGGCATCCAGGTGGGATCCTGGCAAGTGCAGAGTGAGGATTTAGCCACTAGGTATGGTGCTGGGCCCCTACCCTATTATTTTTAAGGTGCTGTCATATGCAGGAACATTTTCTGAATGAATTTGATTGGAGAGACAGAGAATTCTCCAGTTCACTGCTTTGTTCGCCCAAATACCAGCAACAGCCAGGGCTGGGCCAGGAGCTGGGAACTCAATCTGGGTCTGACATGTGACTGGCGGGGGACTCCGCTGCTGGAGCCAGCACCTGCTGTCACCCAGCGGGATGCCCGCTGGCAGCAGCTGGCATGAACGCCAGGCAGCCTGCTGTGGAATGTGGGCTTCCCAAGCGGAGCCCAGTACCCACCTTTCAGAGCTTATTATTTTCTATCGGTGTCATTAGATAATCCACGAAGCACACAGAGTCAACTTGGGCAGTGTACACTCCAGTGGCGTTGAGGATCTGCACCGAGTTGTGCAACCATTACCACCGTCTAATTTTAGAACCTTTTTGTCATCTCTGAAAGCAGGCCAATGCCCATGAACAGGCACTTCCCGGGTCCTCCTCCTGGCCTGTGGCAGCCACTCATCTGCTCCCCGTCGCTGCCCGTACCAGGCGTTTCTCATCAAGGAGACTGTGCCCCAGCGCGGTCATTCTGTGATGTTCCTGCTCGCGTAGGACTCTGTTTCCCGGGTGCGTCCTATTGTAGCACGCACCAGCACTCTGTCCCTTTAGTGCTAAGTGACTTTGCATGGCTGAGTACTACTTCCCTGTTTGGGCAGAGCACGGGGCTATTGATCCAAGTTTCAGCGGATCACATTTTGGGTGCTGCTTTTTTTTTTTTCCCACTGTGAATATTCCTGGTGTCAGGGCAGACATGGGTGTTGGTTGCTCTTGAGTTGTAGGTCCCGGGCTCCATTGGGTAGGCGTTTCCCACAGTGGCTGCACTCTAGTTCCCACCCGTGGGCACTGTAGGAGAATTGCAGTCATCTCAACCACAGGCTGTATCCTCTGGGGACTGTTGTCTTCCTGGGAGACCACTGGCTTTGATGTGCTAGTTATGCAATTTTTTCTTTCTTTTTTTAACATGTGTTTATCTGAAAGGCAGACCGGCAGATCTTCCACTGATGGACTCCCACAAAGGGTGTGGACCAAACTGAAGCCAGGAGCCCACAACTCCCGTCTGGGTCTCCCTTGTGTGTAGCAGGAATCCAAGGACTTGGGCCGTGATCTGCTGCTCTCCTGGGTGCATCAGTAGGAGACGGGATCAGAAGTGGAGCAGCTGGGGGCAGGGCTGGCATGATGGCACAATTGGCTAATCCTCCGCTTGTAGGCACTGGGATCCTGTATGGGTGCTGGTTCATGTCTCAGCTGCTTAGTAAGTATCCTATCCAGCTCCCTGCTTGTGGCCTGGAAAAGCAGCAAAGGATGGCCCAAAGCCTTGGGATCCTGACATCCGTGTGGGAGACCCAGAGGAAAACTCCTAGCTCCTGGCTTCAGATCAGCTCGGCTCCGGCCACTGCAGCCATTTGGGGAGTGATCCAGCAGAGGGAGGATCTTTTTTTCTGTCTCTCCCTTCCTTCTGTGGATCTACCTTTCCAATAAAAATAAATAACTAAAAACAAACAAACAAAAAACACCAAAAAACATAGAGCATCCAAGACTGGAACCAACGCGCCCAGAGGGGATGTGTGGGCATCTCAGGTGGTGGCTTAACGTGCTGTGCAACCATTCCTGCCCTCATAACTGTTGTTATGATTCTCAAGACATTAAGCATCTCATTGGGAGGTTGCGAGGGACCCCTCCCCCTCACCCCACGCACCCAGTGAGAGAAGCGGAGGTGAAACCTGCTAAGTGGGTAGCCGAGGTCATGTGGATAGCCGTGGATAGCCATGGATAGCCATGGATAGCCGAGGTCCCACCTGTGGTAGTGTCAAATGCTTCCTGATGCAGGGGGAGACTGAGGGAGCTGCAGGAGCAGAGTCAGGAAGTGCTCAGAACCTGGCATCCCGGCATTCCCCGCGACATCCCAGAACTAGTGGAGACCCCAGGACCCAGGGTGTGCGCAAGTCCATAGCACTTAGGGACGGCCTGTCCCTCACCCCTGACGTCAAACTGGCTGGGCCTCCCCTGCGCCTGCCTAGGGCCACTGTGATGGTTATGCTCCTCCGTGGCCAGCCCCAAGCCTGAGCTAAGTGGTCCTGAGTTCCAAATGTACCCTGGACACACAGACCTCTTCTCTCCTCATCCAGGCCAGTCTTGTCTGGGCAGCATCTCCCCACCCCCACTGCTGGAGCCTCCTCCCTCTCTTCCCTTGGACTTTTTGCTGCTTTGTTTGCTTTCGGGGAAGTCTGGACCCCAGGTAGGGCAAGGTGCTGAGTTCCTTGAAGGGAGTCAGTTCTCCTGTGGTGAACCCCTGGTCAGCTGATTCGAGAATTCAACTTCCCCTTATCCAGCCACCAGCTTCATTATCACCTGTGGACACCTGCTGTCTGGGAGGGACCTTGCCATCACACCTCCAGCTGTGTTCGCTGGCCCTCCTGCCTTTGTTTTTAAAGATTTATCTTATTAGAAAAGCAAATTTAGAGAGAATGATAAACAAAGGGGGAAAGATCTTTCATCTACTGATTCACCCCCTACATGACCGACCACAATGGCCAGAGCTGAGCTGATCTACAGCCAAGAGCTTCTTCCGGGTCTCCCACGCAGGTGCAGGGTCCCAAGGCTTTGGGCTGTCCTCGACTGCCTTCCCAGGTCACAAGCAGGGAGCTGGAAGGGAAGTGAAACAGCCAGGATTAGAACCAATGCCCATATGGGCTCACGGCTTTCTTTCTTTTTTGTACACTTGCCCCTTTTATGAAGTTCCTGGACTCCCATGTATGAAGAAAAGCAGCATAAGGGAGTGGGGCTGTCCTGCTCTGGGCCTCAGTGTACCTCGCTGAAGAATGGACTAAGACCCGTCAGGACCTCGGACTCAGCAAGGTCATTTGTAGATGGACGTGTAGCCACAGCTGCCTCACGTCCTGGGGGTGGGGACCACAGCATGCTTTTCTGAAAGCTTGGATGTGGCTAGGGATGGCTGTGAGTTGGCACAGGGCACAGGGACCACGGAGGAAGCATCACCGCGTGGCAGTACCTCCCGGCCTCCCCAGGGGCGGCTCCTGCTGTCTGCAGACGTGTGGTCCACCCTGTCTGTCTGGGACCCACTCTGGAGAAAGTCCAGGATGCCTGTCCCCCTTGGCAGGTCTGCCCTGCCCTCGGGAAGGTTCGCAGGAATGAGTCATTCAGAGGAGGCCACGGGCTGGGCCAAGCCCCAGACATTGCAGGGGAGGCACTCCCGGGGTAATCCTTGCTTACCTTTCGGGGAGCGTCTGGGAAACGGCTCCATGGCATCCTGTGTACACGCTCAGGTGGCAAGCGGCCAGCCTGTGTACCACACCAATGCCCGCATCCAGCAGT